AATTGGCCTGGAGGTCAATGTGTGTGTGTGTGTGTGTGTGTGTGTGTGTGAGCGGGGGCGGGAGGAGAAGGGTTTTAGATTATAGCAGAGCCCATCAGTTTATACTCTGCATTATTTGACTATTCTTTTTTGATGTAACTATTTGAAGCACAAAAAAAGCAACAAATATTTTCACATGCTGAAAGTGACAGGCCAGAACAAATGCACAAATACTGCAGGAACACTGCCAGAGCAGGTGAAAGGAATTCAGAGAAGGCATATATAGGAGAAAGATACAAGGCTTAATACTTAGAGTGGGGTTGTACAGAACAAAGACCGGGAGAGGCAGAGGAAAGGGGGGTGGGAGGGAGAAGGGGAAAGGAGAGCGAAGTGGAAGAGCAGCCAAACGGAGTAAGGACAGGATAAGAAAAAGTTTTACCTTACTAAAGAGCAAAGAAATTCAAATTTAAAAAATACCTGTACTTCACTTGTCTAACATCTGTGAAGTGGCTAACTTGTGTCAGGTATGGTCCTTTTATCTTATTTAGTGCAAAAAAAAAAGTCCTATGAGGTCGGCACCATTACAATGTCCATTTCATAGACAGGGAATCAGAGGTTCAGGGAGGTTAATATGCCTGAGGTAACAAAGTGAATAAGTGGTATTAAGCAAAATGCTATTTTACCTTTTGAATTTGCAAAGATTAAATGATTGTATGAAAATGAAAAATATGCCTGCTTTTCACCCAGCAATTTCACTACAAAATTTATTCTAGGGAGATAATTAGGTAAGTGCACAAAGAACTTTTATAAAGATGTTTTGGTGCTGTATTATTTATAACAGCAAAAAATTGGAAACAACCTTAATGTTCTTCAAAAGAGTTTGGCTAAACAGGTAAAGACGTATCCATACAGTGTAAACCCAAGCAGCACTTAAGAATGAGGTAGATCAATATGATTTGGCTTAGAAACGTGTGGCCTAGCTATTTTGTTCAGTGGGAGAAAAAAGGCAGGTTACAAAATAGCATGTAAACCCTGACTCTATTTTTATAAAAAAAATTATATTTGTTAAGCACAGAAAAGTGCCAGAATGTATTTTCTGTGGATATGGTGTGTGTGTGTGTGTGTGTGCGCGGAGGCGGGAGGAGAAGGGTTTTAGATTATAGCAGAGCCCATCAGTTTATACTCTGCATTATTTGACTATTCTTTTTTGATGTAACTATTTGAAGCACACAAAAAAAGCAACAAATATTGTCACATGCTGAAAGTGACAAGCCAGAACAAATGCACTACTACTGCAGGAACACTGCCGGAGCAGGTGCAAGGAATTCAGAGAAGGCACATATAGGAGAAAGATACAAGACTTAATACTTAGAGTGGGGTTGTACAGAACAAAGACCGCGAGAGGCAGAGGAAAGGGGGGTGGGAGGGAGAAGGGGAAAGGAGAGCAAAGTGGAAGAGCAGCCAAACGGAGTAAAAACAGGTTGAAGAAACAGTAGAGCATCTGCAATGAAGGTCAGCAAAGCCTGAGTGTTGGTTGAGAAGGTTCAACCTGGGGCTTTGGTGAGAACGAGCTAGTGCAGCTGCGGAGAGTTAAGAGGGTTAGACCATGGGCTCTGGAGTGGAGCAGTACAGTTAGTGCTCACTACACATCCATGTGTTCCCTGTGGGCCCTGCCCTCCTTGCAGTCAGGTTGGGGTCATGTGACTTATTCTTGTCACAGGATGTTTGAGAGAAAGACGTAGGTACTGCAGTGCCTCTATCGCTCTCTTGCCCGGATACGGAAGCAGTTGCCTGTGTTCCATGACGGCCTTATAACAAGAAGCCGTCAATATCAGTGGCCACCTATGGGCAGTGGCCAGGATGTAATTGAGAAATAAACTTTGGTTGTTTTAAGACACTGCGATGTGGGGGTTGTCTGTTATTGCAGCTAGAGTTGCCTGCTCTAATATGCTTTGTCATTTATTAGCTGTCTAAATTCAGACAGATTATTTTACCTTCTGAACATTAATGATTTCTTCTGTAAATGGAAAAAATAATAGTATTTGTCTCACAAGGCTACTGAAGGATCAAGTGGGAAAGGGTACAGTGTTAGGAACAAAGTATTCAATAGGCGTTAGCTGTTCTTGATGTTATCACTATCATTTACAGCAGGAATTGATAAGTCAGTCACTCAAGGCGGGCAGCAAAAGGCCACGGAAATGTCAGTCGATGACAGCAGGGCTGAGCCAAGGAGATATTGTGGGACATATTAACAGAAGTTGTGGAATCCAGACGTGTGAGTGAAGAGCATTGAAGATATAGACCCAAGTATCTGGCTAGTGAACTGCCAACTCCCCGTCACTGGAAGCATTGGTTGCTGAAAGAAAGCACTCATAGGTGGAGGTTAGCTTATAGAGATGGGCTAGTTCAGAGCAGCTGCATATCTAGAAAAGTGCTTACTAAACTCCCATCATAATGAAATAGGTTGTGCTAATAGGATTCTTTTTCCAATATCTCAATTTAAATGGACATGAAGGGCACCCGATATGCCTAATATTACTAAATTATTGGTTGAGCCTTTTAACCATTTGGTCATCCAAGGATCTTGGTACAGGGACTCTGGGGCTACCAACTAGCTCTCTATGTAATTAGGGAAAAGGGAGGATGAGTCCAGTGAGCCAGTGTGTGCCCCTGTGCTAGGCTGGTGGTGGAAGGGGATGCTATTTATAAATATAGCATATGATGAATTCGGGGAAACTTGGTGATACGATTCTCCCCCCTCCCTTCCCTCCTTCTTTCATTTCCTTTCCCTTTTTAAAAAGTAGCACATTTGCATTTAGCATAAAAATAACAGATGTCTTATTGAGACTAATTCGAGTGCCATGATTATATGAATTTTTTTTTTATATAAAATCAAATTGACTCTTGAAAGAGCAAATTGTCTAAGTTACTCTTAGTCAGTGGTGACTACAAAACCTCTATAAGGCTGGGTAGGGGTAGTAATACTCTTTGAAGCAGAGTTTTCACAGCACTTTACAAGGGAGTGAGAAAATGTCAACTTGCTAAAGAAAAGAGGGAGGGGATCCTTTTTTGGGGGGTTTAAGACACCCAACTTCACTTGATATGGTCACTGCTCTCAGGGATTTACTATTTTTCTCAGTCTATTCCCTCAGCAGACTTTTAATGAGCATCTACGATGTGCTGCAAATATACAAGCTGAAAAACAGTCTCTGTCCCTGAGACCATCACAACCCAGGAGAGCCAGAGAGCCAGTTGCACATACCTGGGGCCTCTCAGCATTCAGAAATCAGTTGTCAGAGGTTTCCTCTTAGTTCTGGCTAAAGAGTAGTCCCAGGGATCTGCCACTTACCACTTAGTGAGTTAAACAGGGGGACCCCTCTTGGCATTCAGTGCTTGGACAAACTCCCCTCCAACAGGCTCGTCCATCTCAGGTCAGCGGAGGGGCCCAGGATGTCTCTTCTCTGGGCCAATCAGAAGCCAGCCAGCATCTCCTAGATGCAGCCATTCTCATCTTATGGAATGCTTATTTAACCTTAGACCAGCTATTTTTATTTGGTAAAAAAAAAAAAAAAAAGCTGCCATTACTCAGTGCTGACCAGGAATCCAGGCCTCTGCTCTGTGAGTGTGCGCTGGAGTCTGCCTTGCCCTGACATTTACTTCCCAGTCAGGGGCGTTTGGGGGCGCGGCTGCAGCCACAGCGCAGAGACCGCAGCCAGGAGAGGTAGAGGTGCCTTCGCGGTGGGAGGCCCCGCTAGGACACACACGCCAGGATCCTCCCAGGCTGCGGCGACGGAGGGTCCCAGAGCGAGGAAGATGGATCAGGTCCGCCTCTCGCACTTAGTCCAGCAGGAGTGGCGGGGTGTGGGGTGAGGGTAGCGCCAGGGCCTTTGAATGGGGGTGTCCCCTACTCCGGAGAGCGTCTCTCCCTGCGTGAGGGGTGTGGACCCGGTTCGCACAGTCCTCAGCTGTGCCTGAGCAAGGACCACGCCATCTCCCCTCCTACCCTTCCCTGGTGTGACCACTTTCGATCCCGCTCCAGACAAAGGCAATCTGAACTCCGGCAGAACGAATGAGGGGATCAGGTTGCTCTCTAGGTTTCCCCTCACCACCACCCCTCCCCGCGTTCCCCCTTCCCCACGTGACTCTCTGGAATCTTTGCCAAAGCTCCGTGTCCCTGGGTCTATTTTCACGCCCAGCACGGGAGAGAGGAGGGAGGGGAGGGAGGCGGAGGGAGGCGGAGCGTGTTTCTTACACGCGGGCATCCAAAGGGGGCCTTATTTTGTGCGTCTCCGGGCTCTCGGGTGTGAGTGGCATTGAGTTCGGGGGTTCTTTCCAGCCCCTGTGGCTCTTTCCTCCGCGCATCGACAATTATGGCTCCTCCTCCACTGCCATGAGCACACCTCGACCCCGCAGACCAGCTCCGCGGCGTTCAGTGCGGAGGTAGCTGTGGGCGTGGAG